ATTTCTAGTGCATGTGATACGCGAGGGCATCTCAATATGGCTTTTAAGCTTTAGTGCATTTCCAAAGAATCCATTAACTGGTAAAGTTGAGCAATGTTGAACAAACCTCGTTAACTGGTAAAGTTGACTGCCGAAAGTTTTCATCTTGCGCAGATTTCTTTTTTGAGCGGCGCAAAGTGCAAGATTATGAAAGTCTGAAATGGCTTCTTCGGATGTGTTGGTACCAATTTTCCATCCAAAATAATCAAATCATAGAGAGTTTGGCCTTCTCAAACCATCCATTCAAGGTTAAGAGCAAACGCATTCCTGCGCTATACATTAAAATTTCACGAACCGCAACATTCCTCTCTGGCTGCTTAATTCCTTTCTAGCTATTCCATGCTCTTTAAAAAACGATCCAGCTTCACTCGTTCGCGCTTCTAAACCGAAATACCGATCGCTTTTTGTATTTTTAATAGCCATTTCGCTTAATTGCATCGTTTTTGGCTTCTAGTGTACTAAATCTGCCATTTGAAAAAGTTTGCCGTCAAGTAAATTCTACATAGGTAGAGTTCCCCTGAGAACTGATTAGATTGGAAATCGGGAACGGCTTTTGTGTATACGAACGCTGCATCTCAGCCGAATTAGTTAAGTGGCAAACACTGAGCAGTTTGATGCTTAAGACAATACGAGGTAGTTATGTGTCTTTTCGATTAATTTTATTTCTTTATAATTTCTGGAAATACAGTTTTTTGTTGCATTTCTGATGATTGTCGAGATTTTGGTAGTCTTTTTTTTTGCCTTGAAAAATTATTTAGATAAAAGAAGGGGGAAATGTGACAAGGGATATCCTGGATCTTTTTTTTTTTTCATTTAGAACTCGATTTTTTGAATTCGCTCATTATTAGTTTGCTATTTTCTGTTTACTTTTACTAGTTGCACAGTTGGAGAACCGAACCATGAACTGAAGACTTTACAAGTGTGTGTACTTTGATTCGCTTCTTTTGCGTTATTTTTCTAACTCTAAAATGTGTATTTCTTGTATATATGCAACTCAGGATCGGATTGTTTGACGTAACTGCATCCACATATAAGTGCATTTTCCACACGTTATGCAGCCAGTCTTTGTAATATCGCGTAATATATCAAATAATGGTTAATGGTTTTTGTTAAAAATAGATTAAAGATCAACTACGTTATTATGACGCAGTACCCCTGTCCCTGGTTCAAACTTTAACCACTGTACCCTCACTGAACTTTCGATCTTTGTCCCCTGGGGTATAAAAGCACTACTCCTTATCGTCGGGATGACCACTACCGATCTCCAACTGCCACCTACTTCTATATAACTAATACTCCTATTCTGGAGAGCTTCGGCTCCCCGGGGCCTCACCTCCTTTTTATGCATTGTCCTTTTGACTTACTGTGTATTAATAAAAATGTATATAGGACGTGACGTTTTATACACACATACAAACGGGGCACACACTAGTCTAATAATCTAGCTATTAGGGTCGCGATAGTAATATTTTAAGAAGTATATTATTGTTTGCTTTGCCGCTGTGGCCTGGCTTGCTTTGTTAGGTTGCCATATTTTTCCATTTTTTTATAAAAGAAGGTACTTCTATAAATTGGTTTTTGATCCCTTTCTGATAAAGACTTCAGCAAAAAAGTGAACTGGAGGGCAGCACAGAATGTGACGTATGTTATTACTACCACTAAAATGAAGCGCACAGGGATTATTTTACCAGATGTAATTTCGAACTGTTGCTGGTGCCCTCAAAGTTCGAGTCAAAGGACTATACCTTATTTCTTTAATACTACTGTGCTGACATACATATACAAAACGTGGTCACCAACGAAATGTGGAGAGCGCTTGTTAGATGTGACGGAGAGAGCAGTGGAGCAAAGGATGCTTACAATGCTTCTTTGTGACTGCATAAGGTATAAGACTACCCATCAAACAAGAGGCATCAATGTGACCTCACGAAAAAACCCAGGTTGGAACGCACCAGGCTTGCCGGTGTGATCATGCGTTTTTGCACTAAACTCGCAGGTCGCTAATACAGGAATAAACCCTACGCTG